GTATTACAGCTTCCTGCACGTATTACTTTCAAAATGTCGACGGTCGCTGTTTGCCAGCAAAAGCGGATTATGTAGAAAACAAGTTACTTGTAACTTAGTAAGGTCAGTTTATGACCAGTTTTTAACTGCCGGTGGTGATAAGCGTCTGATTTGTGATTGCGTTAACCTGTACTGTTCTGATAAATTCTGTTAAGTTACGATGTTTTCCTCCGTACACATAATAGACTCGCAGTTTTAATCGTACATCTGCGTTGTAACCGAATTTTTTTTTTTTCAAAATTGCATCCCGTTTAACAAATACGCCGGTGGTGGTCGAAGAATTGTTTATTGTATGTTGGGAGTGGGCTTTTTTTATCGGTATGTACTATTATTTTAAGGCCAAAAGTAATAGGTTTTAAGGGTGTTATTGATTGTCGGGTGCACTCTTAATTTTGAGAATGTCTGTAAATTTAACCAGAGAAAACCCCGGCTTTTTATAATTTGTGGAAAAATTGAGTAATTAATGCGACCATTAATTTGTTATAATTATGGAATATTGTTTTAAATAGAAGTATAAACTTGTGTGTCTCTAGTCTATACAAATATTTATATATAATAACCTGTTCCACATATAATCTCAATTTTTGACACAGTATTGCGAAATAATTGAAGGTAGTGGTTTCCGACATCTTATTATAGTACCACATCTCGAAAGACGTAGGTTCGGTGTAGCTCAGAGAAACGAGAGCCCACTGAGCTCGAACTCTTTCCAATTTTGACTTTCTCATTTGTTTTGTCATTGGAAGAAATTGCGTTTGAAGCAGTGCCGTGAACTTTTTCTGCAAACAGAAATTATGTTTTAGACGAAGTGTAACGAGTCATTTTCGCGACCCACATGTTAAGAACTACTGCATATGTAAATAAAATAGTTTATGAGTTGTATAAAGCAGATATTGTACATTTTATGTATGTTATGGCAACGAAATTTGGTACGAAACTTTGACAGTTCGGAGGTCAACAAGACTTATAAAATGACAGTACGTAGAATACAGACATTTTAAATTCTCTGTTGTTTTTTTAATATTATGCTTGGTGGCAGGCAATCTCCTACCAAATTTCTACTCACTCATCTGTGACCATACTGTTATCTTATTGGATGCTGTAGACTCTGAGACGTCGTTTTTATAATCCAGAAATCAATAATCGGAATTTGTGCTTTGAAGACCTGCAAATGCCATGCGCGGTGGACAACGACCGGAAGACAGAACTTCGTGGTAGCTGGAGGGGAAAGGTGTATCTGTTTTGAACACTTGTTGATGAAGCACGTTGCTCTGAAATTCATGACTACAAGATGAGTAAAGACGTTTTGTCTTTTAAAGATGACTGTCTTATGTGTTGTAGCGCCATGTAGTCTGGTAGAATTTTACCAACGTTTCACGGGTCCCTGCTGCCTCCATCGTCAGGGAATGAGACTGTTATACTACTCGTGTGCCATCTGGTTTTGAAACTTTAAAAAAGTGTGCTGTATGTGTAGAAAGATAAGGAGACAGCTCCTTACAGCGTTTGGCGTGTTGCATCCAATAGTAGTGCGTACTGTCGGTGGAATTTTTTTTTTAATTTAAAGAACTTACTAGACCAATTAATACGTTGCGTTATGAATTTATTTCATTTTCTTCAACAGAATTTCTTGTTCTCGTTGTGATTTATTCCGGATGTCCGTTCTCAGTCGCCTATTCGTACTTAATCCACACAACACGCGAACCACATATCAATTATGCACTTCGCTGTGTCTTGGTTACTGCAAAGAAATGATTATTGAGGTGAATGGGGACCATCTCATTAATGCTGTTTCCCCCTGTAGTCTTATCCGATATGTAACATCGATACATCGGAGACAGTGTTCGATAATGACATTTGTCCAGCGTATCGATATATCTCGTAATTAACGTTATTTATTTGTAGGTGCCGAAAAACCGGAAATCGGTGCATTATAGCAAATGTTCGCGGGACTTTTACTTCGTTATTAGGAAGAAAGAACTGAGAATTGTGCGGTAATTGAATGCACTGGCGTGTGAAGAGTTGGTATCCTACGTTTCGGAGACTTGTCTCCGCCTTCATGATGGCCCAAGATGATATTTAAAGAACATTAAAACCAATGTACGATGTTTAATTCTGAATTATGTTATTTAAACTACCACTGATCAATATTTTATTAAAATATTTGTTTAAAATATATATACAGCGATTCGTGATATAAATAAAAGTATTAATACACTGTTTAAAAACAATTAAATTACGTATTTGTGCAAAGATAGCCACGGTGGTCTAGCGGTTAGAACGCTGGTCTTGTAATCCTGGGGGGTCTCGGGTTCGATTCCCGGCGGTGCTCGAATTTATAACTTGTGTTGGGCAAGGCCGTGGTCTAGGCAACACGGATTTTTCCTCCGTGGCATCCCAACAATTACTCCATTCACACACACAAGAAGGCAATGGCAAACCACTTCTGGATCATCTGCCAAGAACGTATATGAACAGGTCCCAGTCCGAGAAAAGGATGGAAGGATCCTGTTCATATGGACCTGTCGTCAGACAGAACACTAAATAAATAATAATTTGTGTAAAATAAAATATTTCGAAACAGACAATCGTATCGATTGACATCTCTAAATATGTAACAAACGGTCATTTGAAATGTGTTATTTTGAATTGTACTGTTTTTCACATTTGACGTTTTGTTTGGATCCGACATGCATGTGGTTCAATTGCTGTCCTGCACGTGTTGGTTAACTGTCATCGGCGTCGGTTTCGCCTGCATCTTTTGCTTTGACCTCACAGCGCCTTCCCCCTAAAGAAAGTAAATATACCAGGAATTTACCCAGATCGCCCTCTAAATTGACTTGATTCTCGTGCTCAACTGCTTATTCGGAAACTGGGTGTTCGCTGTTTTGTGCACGCACATCCGTCAGTTTATGGGGGGGCGTCGTAGTACACGTTAATATTTTAATGAGAGAGAGAAACAAAGTGGTTTCTAGTAGACAAAAGTTTCGTTAGCAGATCTCAGTACAGTAGCAACCGATCTAGTATAGTACCAACTCCCGAAACGTCGTGTGTACCAATGCGCTTAAATGTCCATCATAATGTAACAACGAATCAAATATCTTATTAAGTCCATGGATGAGAGTTCTTGAGATTCTAATAGTCACGTGAATCCAATCTACACCCTCAGGAGTCTGTTCTGTGTTTGTGCGTTTCGTAAAGGGGGTTGTCTGCCTTCATCAGGAGACTGGCTTTTAAAACAGTGAGCACTTACGAAAGTCATCTGTGTAAGTGCTTGGGCGTGGGGATAATTAAAAAATCCGTTAACAGAAAAATTTAATTTGTAAGATTTGAGGTTCTCACAGCGGGGAGTATGAAGATTTCTGTCTTCTGGGTTGTTACGCTGTATAGTATGGTAGATGTTTACCAACGTTTCGGAGGTCATACTGCCCCCATCATCAGGGCGATGAGTATGAAGATGTCTGTCTTCTGGGTTGTTGCGCCGTGTAGTCTGGTCGATGTTAACCAACGTTTCAGAGGTCATACTGCCTCCGTCATCAGGGTATCTACCAGACTACACGGCGCAACAACCCAGAAGACGGAAATCTTCGTACTCTGATGACGGAGGCAGTATGCCCTCTGAAACGTTGGTAAACATCGACCAGACTACACGGCGCAACAACCCAGAAGACGGAAATCTTCGTACTCTGATGACGGAGGCAGTATGCCCTCTGAAACGTTGGTAAACATCGACCAGACTACACGGCGCAACAACCCAGAAGACGGAAATCTTCGTACTCTGATGACGGAGGCAGTATGCCCTCTGAAACGTTGGTAAACATCGACCAGACTACACGGCGCAACAACCCAGAAGACGGAAATCTTCGTACTCTGATGACGGAGGCAGTATGCCCTCTGAAACGTTGGTAAACATCGACCAGACTACACGGCGCAACAACCCAGAAGACGGAAATCTTCGTACTCTGATGACGGAGGCAGTATGCCCTCTGAAACGTTGGTAAACATCGACCAGACTACACGGCGCAACAACCCAGAAGACGGAAATCTTCGTACTCTGATGACGGAGGCAGTATGCCCTCTGAAACGTTGGTAAACATCGACCAGACTACACGGCGCAACAACCCAGAAGACAGAAATCGTCAAAATTCAATTTGTCAGGAAGAAAAACACGGGACGCCATGTGATTGGACTTTGATAACGTTTCGATGTATTGAATTCAGCCTCTGTTTTATTTATTTATTTATTCTATCAGCTCATTTCTTCTGTATTATAGGGCATAGTGCATTATAACAGATCGTTAGTAAAGTAATACTTGTTCAGAATACGCGGTCACTACATGCAGGGGTTTGAAGACCTCGGCTCGACCTGGCGTGTCTTATCAGCGACAGTTGGATTGCGTATTTGTCGTTACCAGGTAGGCCTCTAGCAGCAGTATCCGTTTGGAAGTTCATGAAGTGTGAAGTTCATGACATGGGGCGACATTTGTGCTGCCTTCGGAAGGTGCAGCTAACAATGATTTATGTGTCTGGTGGTTTTGAGGGAACAATAGCCCGCTGTTTATGGCGTGGTCTGCGGATACAATTTTCCCCCCCCGGAAGATTCTGAGATTCAGCGCATGCGCTGAAGAGAAATTTTCCGCGGAGATGTTACGATGAACTTCTTGAGGACCCCCCTGTTCGCACTTTTTTTTCTTTGATAACCCCCCTCATCAAGGGGTGGATTCCATTTTCCGTCCTTCCCTTGTAGAAGCGGTAGGTAATAGTTTCTGGCCTCCATTACCCCCACTTCACCCCTCTGTACTGTGAAAGCTGCGTCAATACCAGGGTGACAGACGCAAGGGTGGGATTCCACGTTCTGTGGATGTACGCAACCGTTCTGCGCAGAGTTCCTCACCACACGTGGTCTACCCGGTCCCCTCTCCCCTCCCCAACATGGTCGTTCTTCCCGCGCGCGCTGCCTGGCTGCTTCGCTGGCTAGTCAACTCTCATCCGCCGAGAATTTCATTGTGTTACAGCGGCCAGAGTAGTGTGGATGTTTGTATCTGCCGTCAGATCGGACAGTCTTTGTAGTGTCTTTGTGCTAAGTGACGGTACAGTTTTTAGGTTTGGACGTCGATTACTCTTTTTTGTACGTGAATGTAGCATCACTTTATCGAATAAACGCAACTTGGATTCGGATGGCGTCTCCAAGGTAAGTTTCTGGAGAATACGCTTCTGTCAGAACAATGACATGAAATGGAAAGTTCTTTGTGTAATTTGTGATCTGACAGCTGCTAACATACGTTGCGGTCTCTCTGTTGTTCTGTGACTCGTTTAACTACCAGAATATCTTACTTTAGGTCGCATATAATTTCGAGTATCATTGTGGGGATTGGTCCAACTTCAACAATCGTGGTGATAACGAAAAAGAAGGAAGTTTTATTACGTGACAGAAACACAAATACAGTTTGCTCAGGACGTGTAGCCGATTTTTTATTCTTAAACAATGCACCGAGCATCTTGTTGAATTACGCGATGAACTTGTTCTACCGTGTACTTCCCATCATAAATAAGAATTTTAGGGATGTGTTTGCTTTTTGAAAGTCGAGTGTAAATTATCGGGCAGATGTCGCGTGTGTGATATAAAATGTTTCGTTTGCTCTGTGTACGTGTAGGCGAGAACACGGACCCCATGCATGTCGCAGGGGGAAATCCTGTTCCTCATCTGTAAAAAGAGACTAGCTAACATATGTCAGATGTGTCCGAGGAACGTTGGAAGATCCCCCACCCCTCTCCTGGGGTTCTGTAATCGTGGAACTGGTGATGTAACCAACAATTGAAGAAGAATCTTTTTTAACCTCGGGTTTCATAAACTAATAGGGAGTTGTGAAAAGGATTTGACCACGACAATTGACATGCATTATGGCGGGGCGATGTTTTATACATCGTCGTAAAAGAACTTGGGCTATTGACATTGGGAACAAAATATGGTCAGCGGCCACTCGTATTGTTGTCAGCAGTGATAAAAACTGTTGTTGCCCTGAAAGTTGTTAAAAAATTGTCTTTTATTGAGTGATCTTGTTCGGAAGGTAATAATGTCTGTGGGGAAAAAGTCCCAACCTATTATTGGTTTTTTACGCAACAATTTGACCTTTTTTGTATTAGCTGTTAACCACGTACAGTTTTTTCTGATATTTTGTAATTATTGCAAGGAACCGGTTTCGTGGCAGAATAGTGGTTTTGATGTATACCCTAAAACACGTCATGCACCTCGGACTTTGTTTTGATTAGAAGACCAGACAAGAACGGTTTAACAGGAGGTGTGAAGTGATGTTAACCGTAAATGTGGTATATCTAGTGTTTGGAGTGTGAGGGCAGTGTATAACTGTGGAAAGTTACTTCTACAATGTGTAAATTAGAATAAAATTGATCTTTAGTTAAAATAATGCCCGGTTATTTAGAAATACGATTCACGTGAAAACTTTCATGTTCCAGCAACGGGCGATGCTGACTTTAAAAGTGAAAGTGGAATTGGAGAAAGAGTCTTGCGTTTTGTGAGATGTTTTAAGTGCGTTCTTCTGATGCTACAGATTGAAAGCTTTTCCTTTACGAAACAAAATTTATCTTACAGACTTTCGTAACACAGAGCAGGATATCCGGAAGTCGTAATGGGGTTTTACGGGTATGTTACATTGATATCACTCCGGGTGTATTGCACTCAAAATTAGTGAAGTAAGCGAGCAGGAATACTAAGCGGTATAGTTTAATCGGTATACCCCTGCGCGAAGGAAAATACTTTTGTTTATGTACTGCTTACGTGTCCTATCTGTTACCACGTTAGATGTCTTGCTACGAATATAAGTGATCTTAATGTAAAAGACGTGGATTGGTCCTAAATGACGTCCTTTTTTAAAGGTAGTTTCTTAAAAGCCGCGAAGTATCTTGACAAGTGAGCGACTGTCATTTCTCAAGGACTTCACCACTCAGTTTACGTAAAATAGGATTGAAAATTACGAAATTGCTACAATACGATGAAGACGTTGAAGTGATCTTTTGAAAACTGGTTATTTATAGGATAATTAACCCTCTGAAACCAAAGCTCGCGTATATATCAGAATTCAGGCCGTACCGCGAAGAAAACACCACACTTCACCACTACGAAGATCTACCGGTTAACGCTGTTTAAGGAAATAAACGATGTTTGCAGTGGGAATCATACGAAACACTTGAGATCGTTGCCTGGCGCCGGTGTATGAAGTGATCACGCCTCAAACGTTTAGGGCGTCATAGTTTTGCGTCCCACACGCTTAAATAGTTAATCGTGACAGCTGAAGATCCATATGCGTTACATTTCTCGCGGGATCCGGGTTTGTGAGTCGTCTGTTATTATTCGTGGACGTTCTTCACACGGTATGCAAAATATGGTATTATTATTTTAAAATGTGTCGACCTGTTAAACTGTAAACGTGTTTCATAACTGTGTTAACACCTGCCGTATACTTGTCGGTTCGTATGTATGTATATATATAAGACGTACGAGGTTGTTACACCTTAAACGCGTTCGGTCCTCAGGGTTGTCACGCCGTGTGGGAGTTGTAGGAAGATGGACGTTTCGGAGGAACGTCTTCAGGATTCAGTCTTAAGTTTTGATTGAGTGATGATTTTAAGACGATCCATTTTGATGTTTCCACAGTTTTAGCTGTAATAAGATTTGTTAAACGAGTTTTGCAAAAAATCAAAAATTCTGTCGGTGACGTAGCTGAAACGTTGGTGCTCAATCGATTTTATTTTCATGGGCCATTCACTGCACCCAGTAATCGTTAATAATAGTTGTCATTTAAAAATTCTGTCGGTGACGTAGCTGAATCGATTTTATTTGCATGGGCCCATGCACTGAACCCAGTAATCGTTAATAATAGTTGTCAGGACGAGGTAGAATTTTTGGCAACTGGTTTGGTTTACCGTCTAAACAAAACGTAGTTCAGTGCTGTATGTTGGAGAGAGGACCATGCCCCTGTCATCTATGTTCCACGCCATTGAGGCTCCATGTATTTTTATCTTAGATGGTTGTCGTATGGGATGTTGCGCTGTGTACTGTATATAATATCGGACGTTTCAGAGGTTTTTTTACTGTTTACATCGTTTAAAGCGATATGTGTGTTACGACGTGCTAGTAGACTGCCATCTTCATGACTGCAGCCTGTTGCTTACATTAGCAAGCGTTGTGTGTAAAGGATTCGTTCCGTTCGTCAAATTCGAAGGTTGAACTGATTACTGTTGTGAGTGTTATTGATCAGCACGTGGTCCGGTTTCCACTTTTAGCTCGTCACCTGTCTTCTATCACTGTCCGACCCTGAACTTACGCAGTTGTTATTGATATTGCCCGTTCGCCACGCAGTGTAAACGTGACCAGGTTGAGTGAATGTTTATTGGCGTTAACTGCCACCTTGCTAATATAAAAGTTGCGATGTCGTATTCTTGTAAGTTCGCCAAGCTGATGTAGGCAACGTGCACGACATTGAAGGTAAGACGACGTGGATAAGTCGATGTTAGCTTCTCCTAGAGATCGTTCGTGTTTCCTCGACTAACAGGCAGTGTGTCCGATGGGTACGGATTTCTTATCTCGACCGTTCTACTCTGTTCTAGAAGGCTTCGTGTGTGTGTGGAACTATACCTCCACTCCCCCCCATACGTCTTCGTGATGCTTAATGAAATACAAGTTTAACTTTTCGTTACGGAATGTGGTTTTGTTGTAATATCCTGTAATATTTTGTGGCGATGTAAACAGCTTTCAAGGGCGAGACATGTTTTGTCATACTTTTAATAAATGGGTTCATTGCTACGTCAGTACATCGGAGGTTATCCCAACCCCGTTTTAATAGTCTGAACTTTAAAAAAAAAGTTAGGACAGTTTTATTTGTCACAGAAAGGTGAAATCCTGTTCGGGCAATGTTGGTTTAAAACTGAAAATGCCACAGGGACAACCACAAATATGGATTTTTTTTGTTTGTGAGGTGAAACCCCCTGTGTCTAAGCACCATCCCATGCAGACTGTTGCTTCTTGTATTCCTAACATTGGCAGTTGCCACTTTATCGCCTATGGAACATCCCCTGGTACCCTTTGGTTAGGGGGTAAGGTTGGGTTGGTCCTCACAGCCGGTGTGTACGTGGTAGCGAAGAGAGCAGTTACCACCTCTGACGGAAATCGAACCCCCGGTCGTGTGAAATCTGTAGTCTGTTTACTATATATGGAGTGTATTTTAATTAATATTGAGGCAAGGGGAGTGAAAGTTTGTGACACTGTGCGTCTGGAGTAAATTTGGAATTTGCGCACGAACCTAAATACTACGTATAGGAGGAGCTGTAATTAGTGCCACTACGAAAATGTAATTAATGAGGTCTGTGTAACGTCTACAATGATGATTGTCTTACCCACTGCGGTATTGTTGAAGTCAAAATCTGTAAATCTTAGTGTCGAGTAAGCCTATAGTTAATGAGGCTAGTGTAATTGATGAACCGTCATTATATCAGGGATTATCAACTCTTGGTTCGCAGGCCCTATGCGACCCTCGTACCTTTGTCGTTCTTAACAACCTCATGTTCCTTCGACAAGTTTAGAAAAGTAGATTTGCAAACAACGAATTAAGCGGTCCAGTTTGCCGTTTGGTTATGTAAGGTTGCTTGAATTTGCGTAGTCTAGAGAAAGTCTGGTCTTCGAGAGATTGCCGTGATGCGTTCGGAAGTTTGCAGGGGTATACCTTAGCCATTTAATATATAATGCTGGCTGGCTGGGACGAGTTTCTTCGAACTGATTAGATTTGCCGTAGATTATTGCAGTCAGCGTAAGGTTAAAAGTTCTAACATTTAACCTAACATGGCTTACTGACATGTCAGTATATTACATTCACATGTAAGAAATGCCGAAGTGGGGATCTTGGGTTCGTGATCCAACTTAGTAGGATTTCTGATCGGAATTTCCCCCCACCACCACCCGACAAATCAATTTGCACGTGGGCCGATGGTCACGTGTTACCTATGCCATCTGTGTGCAGGTGCATGTAATCAGTTTCGTAATTGGGTCTCGCTAATTACAGCGTCTTTTATGTGCTGAAACTTTAATGTCACAGATTTGAGGCGGATCGACTTATTTAGGAGTTTGGATTAATATTTGTGTCTTCGCCATGTGTGAGGCTTCGTCACGCACTGTAGACAGGTTTATGCCGGGCTCGTCGGCACGTTTTATTGGGTACACAAACGTTTCTATTACTTTTGAAAAGGGGGTTGGATAATCATTACTTGGTTTGTAGACATTGACCTTGAAGATACATGGACGTCCCTGGAGTGAGCTCTAACTAACTAACTAGATGGCTTACCGAACCCGAAGGTTCATGACCGAATTAACCAAAGCTCTGTCCTGGGCCAACAAAATCCAGTCTCCTTCAACTCCTATCTCCCATAGATCCCGCCTGAGATTATCCTCCCATCTACGTCTAGGTCTCCCCAGAGGTCTCTTCCCCTCAGGCTTCTCAAATAGTGGACCCACCCAACTAGATGGCTTACGGAACCCGAAGGTTCATCACCGAATTAACCAAAGCCCTCCA